GGTTTTCCAAGCCTTGATAATGCGTTGCCATGGTAACTTCATGTACATGTACATGTAGACATCAAACAAATTTAGTTAATTTGTAATTCAATCCTAACGTCTTCCTAAAGAGTCTCACTTTGACTCTTTGTCTGTGTAGTCTGTAGAGTATCCTTTATATTGAGGAAGAACACCTCTATAATGAAGGTGCTTTGTAGTTTCTTAGGTGATACAAGCCTATACAAAAGTACCTCTGAAATGAGGACACCTCTGTATAAAGGACAGGTAGTGTGGGCCCAATGGTGTCCTTAATAAAGAGGCTACACTGTACATGTATTAAGGACAGGTAGTGTGGGCCCAATGGTGTCCTTAATAAAGAGGCTACACTGTACATGTATTAAGGACAGGTAGTGTGGGCCCAATAGTGTCCTTAATAAAGAGGCTACACTGTACATGTATTAAGGACAGGTAGTGTGGGCCCAATGATGTCCTTAATAAAGAGGCTACATTGTATATGTATTAAGGACAGGTAGTGTGGGCCCAATGGTGTCCTTAATAAAGAGGCTACACTGTACATGTATTAAGGACAGGTAGTGTGGGCCCAATGGTGTCCTTAATAAAGAGGCTACACTGTACATGTATTAAGGACAGGTAGTGTGGGCCCAATGGTGTCCTTAATAAAGAGGCTACATTGTATATGTATTAAGGACAGGTAGTGTGGGCCCAATGGTGTCCTTAATAAAGAGGCTACATTGTATATGTATTAAGGACAGGTAGTGTGGGCCCAATGGTGTCCTTAATAAAGAGGCTACATTGTATATGTATTAAGGACAGGTAGTGTGGGCCCAATAGTGTCCTTAATAAAGAGGCTACACTGTACATGTATTAAGGACAGGTAGTGTGGGCCCAATAGTGTCCTTAATAAAGAGGCTACACTGTACATGTATTAAGGACAGGTAGTGTGGGCCCAATGATGTCCTTAATAAAGAGGCTACATTGTATATGTATTAAGGACAGGTAGTGTGGGCCCAATGGTGTCCTTAATAAAGAGGCTACACTGTACATGTATTAAGGACAGGTAGTGTGGGCCCAATGGTGTCCTTAATAAAGAGGCTACACTGTACATGTATTAAGGACAGGTAGTGTGGGCCCAATGGTGTCCTTAATAAAGAGGCTACACTGTACATGTATTAAGGACAGGTAGTGTGGGCCCAATGGTGTCCTTAATAAAGAGGCTACACTGTACATGTATTAAGGACAGGTAGTGTGGGCCCAATGGTGTCCTTAATAAAGAGGCTACACTGTACATGTATTAAGGACAGGTAGTGTGGGCCCAATGGTGTCCTTAATAAAGAGGCTACACTGTACATGTATTAAGGACAGGTAGTGTGGGCCCAATGGTGTCCTTAATAAAGAGGCTACACTGTACATATATTCATCATTTGCCATTATAAATACATGTACATGTGCGGTTCTACCACATCAAAGTGACATGTTTTGTAAAATGATTTTGACTATTATTGCTCATCAAAAGGAGCGACATTGTCTTTATATTTTATGGCTTCTCCATTCACTGCACTACATTTGCATGTAACTGTGTTGCCAACTGACTGCATGTGTATACACATACACTGGTAACAACATGTAACACGCAAATTGGAGAATTTGTATTGTTTGGGGAAGTCATCTCAAGTTTATGTTCATTTGAAGTTTTGTATACATATATATTTCTTTTATTGTTAGACTTCACGCCTTTTAAAGTGAGAGAGAGAGAGAGGGAGGGAGAGAGAGAGAGAGGGAGGGAGGAAAGGAGAAGGAGAGAATTTCGGCCGTTTCATCTTCTAATTTATTGGCTCAACATCAAATTATAATCATACAATGCCATTTCAATGTTGTTATATTATTATTATTATTTTTTAATTAGCATAATCGTAACATATGTACAACTATGGCCAGTATAATTTCATTATTTATTAACATTAATATATTTAAGATTGTAATATAATTGTAATGCTACATCTATTTGTTACATGTATATATAAATAAATGTGATTATTATTATTATATTTATGTACAAGTACATGTACAGTGTACATGAGCCAGTGTTAATGGAATTACACTATCATATCTTATTAAGTCTGTATAATTATTACTTGTACTAGTTTCAGGGAATTTAGCAAGAAGGTCTTTACAACAGATGTACATGCATTATTAACGTTTAACTGTATAATAATGGACCCACTACATGTTAACTTAGTCTAGGGACATTGTTTTTCTTTCTTATCATAATATGGACATTGAATGTCCATATATGCACATGTGTCTGTAGTTTTTGTACTTTTTTTGTTGTCATGATCAAAGTGTGTGTGTATATTAGGATTGACAATATCTCCCCCTCAGCTTTCATTTCCCTTTTCCTGTCTTTATCAGTTAATCACTTCTCTGTCTCTATCTTTCTGTCTCTATCTTTCTGTCTCTCTGTCTCTCCCCTCTCTTCCTCTCTCTCTCTCCCTCTCTCTCTCTCTCTCCCTCTCTCTCCCTCTCCCTCTCTCTCCCTCTCTCCCCCTCTCCCCTCCTCTCTCTCCCCTAGTTCCCTTCCTCCTATCCCTCCCTCTTATTCTCAGTTATTACCTACGGCATACGGTCAGTCTCTCATTGCTGGAGTGGGCGGAGTTGAGTCCAACTACTTGACGCAGTGTCTTCCTTGTATCACCGATTACTCTCACCCTGATCTTCCTTCCATTATGATATTTGCTGAATATCTGGCAACACTAGAAGTTAGTACTTGAATTCTTTTATTTTACATCATAATGTACGTGTACATGTACATGCGTATATCATGCGCCAGTCATGTGATTACATGTATTTAGGGTCCAATGTGGCGGCAGATCAGAGGGATGGGTCTATCCTATCATTACAGGTAAACCTCTTGTGGGTGTGGTCTTTATTTTAACCCTTTCCTCACAGTTTAACTGCCTCCCCGGAGACTGGTCATCTCACTTTTGTGTTGTACAAGTCCTCTCAGCTGGTTCAAGCTTATGAGGTTGCTAGGGACATTGTCGTAAGTCACATGATTATCACATGATGCATGTACATGAATATAACATGTACAATGTACAATGTATGTGAATTGTTACATTTGAGTAGTTATATTAAAGGATTTGGTGTAGTCTATTTCTTCTCTCCCTCTCTCCCCCTCTCTCTCTCCCTGTTTCTCCAGGTTTGGTCATTCTATTCAAATCATTGATGACATTGATTCACTGGCCATCCCTTATGAATCATAAACTCTTATTATTAACTATAATAATTAATTCATTATTGATTGGTTATTGATTCATTTGATTGTTACTAATACTATTCTATTTTATTTGTTAACTCATTAATTATTATTTACTTTATTTATAAGCTCTCACTACGTCCACACGCCCCCTATATACTGTTATGGTGCTATCAATTGTTTTGCATTATAAGCAATAACGATATACAAAACACATTGTGTAGACTTAATACATACTCTACAATGT